TGGGTATCAAATTAAAGAAGTTTAAGAAAGATAACTGTTGGAAATATTTTTGAGGAGGGTTGCCACCTGTTTCAAAACTAAACTAAATTACATTGATAAAATAACTGAAATAGTACAATATGGGTATCAAATTAAAGAAGTTTAAGAAAGATAACTGTTGGAAATATTTTTGAGGAGGGTTGCCACCTATTTTGAAATTTTAACTCAGTTAAATTGATTAAACAAATGAAATATTGCAATGAGGGTATAAAACTAAAGAGCTTATAAAATATCTACAGTAGAAAATATGTTTGAGGGGGTTGCCACCTGTTTGAAAATTTAACTCAATTAAATTGGTAAAATAAATGAAGTGTTACAATATCGGTAACAAACTAAAGGCATTTGAGAAATCTTTATTTAGAAATCTATATCTATATATAAAAATATGTTTAAGAAGGCTTACAGCAGAAAATATGTTTGAGGTATAATATGGGTGCCAAACGAAAGGTATTTGAAAAATCTTGATTTGGAAATATTTTTAATAGGATTATCACCTATCTAAAAGTAAAGACTGAAAATATTGAAATTAAATGAAATATTACATAATTGGTTCCAAACGAAAAGTGTTTGGGAAAGCTTTACTAGGGAACTTTTTTAAATCTTTCCACTTATTCAAAATCGGAACAGTTTAAATAAATATAGAATTTACGACATCTTATCAAACGAAGTGATCATATTATCAACGAAGAGCTGGTACACAAATTACTTAATGTAAAAAATTAATAAACAAGTCATTTTTAAGCAAAAAACACAACCGACATCAATTATCATAAAAAATTTAATAGTACCGTTAATTTTTTCATGCTCCAATGATCGGATCTAAACCAAATTAGTATGGGATCACCTGGAAATCAGTTGACGTGGTCCAAAGTTATGCGGTAACAAACATAAAAAATAATAATCCGACGAATTGATAACCTTCTCCTTTTTTTTAAGTCAGCTAAAAACTACCGAAACAAATAACAAAATGATAAAAGAGTAACGAAAATAAAAAAAACTATCGCATGAAAGCTGTTTAAAAAATTCTTAATGAAAACTTAAAACTGTTGACAACATTCCCTAGCATTATAAATCAGTTAACTTTTAATCGTAAACAATTTATTTCGTTTGGGGTCGCCATTGCCTACTACGTATATTGCGAGTAAAAAAATTTTGAATAACTTGAGATAATATTATTATGATTATAATTATCATTACTATTGTGAACTCCTATTCCCGACCAAAGATTCCCATAATTAAAGCGAAAGCAGAAGGGCATTTACGATCGCATGATGCAAATGTTAAGATAATAAGAGCTGCAGAACTAAACCATGCAGGAACATTTTTTTACAACGGCGTGGAATTTCTGGCGTTTGCCGATGGCATCGACATCATCGGTAACAAAAATCGCGAAGTCTCTTCTGCCTTTTCCAAACTAGATTAGGAAGTAAAGCGAATGCGCCTGGTGGTAAACGAGGACAAGACGAAGTATCTCCTGCCATAAAAAACAGTCAGCGCATTCGCACCTTGGAATTGTTGTTGTTTTGACTGTTGACAGCTTTAAGTTCGGGAAAGTGGAGAATTTTGTGTACTAGGGAACCAGCATTATCACAGATAAAAATATCAGCATGGAAAACCCACACAGAATCACTCTTGCAAACAAGTGCTACTTTGGACTGAGTAGGCAGTTTGGGAGTAGGGAGTAGGCATTCGATGAGACGTCTCTTAGCGTATTCGACAAAAAGATCTTACGGAAGATTTACTGAGACTTAAAACGAAATATACATAGTGCAGGGAATGAAAATGCAGCGGCTCCGCTTGCTTAGACATGTGGTTCCAATAGGAACCGAAGTTCCAGGTGTGAAAGAATTCAACTCGCAATCCGATGGTGGTAGCAGAGGAATAGGGAGCCCACGCTGCAATGGAGAGACCAAGTTGGCACAGAGAGAAATTGACTGGCGTTCTTTGTCGAGCTCGGCCAAAATGGCTTAGGCGGTTACAAAGCCAAAGTAGAAGAAGAATATGCAAATGATAAATGGCGGAGTTGGGGCAGAATGCGCCAGGTGGTACTTATCAGATGGATTCTGGCAACGGTTCGATCAAAAAATTGCATTACCTTAGCTATCACTTCGTCTGGAATTGCTCCGACATTGTTACCAGGTGGGAGCATTGCCAATTCAGCTCTTGAGCTGCCATTGAACATATAAATCATCGAAACTCCTACATGCAATATTTCCAGGGCAATCGGTGCACATAAAAAATCGCTTAAGGTCGTTGATCTATTGTTGTGAGATTTGCGTGGAAACGTTCAACCATTCGGGGATGCATTGATATTGCTCGCAGGAGATTTTACGCAAACATTGTCTGTAGTTCCCCGATTAACACTAGCGAGAGATAAATGCTTGCCTGAAATAGTCAACATTGCGACAAGACGAACATACATACACTGCAGCTGAAGTATTCTCGCGACAATAACTGGACATTGGGAACGCAAAGCTGCCAGTCAATGAGAGATTAAGACAAATTTTATGGCCTGATAATTTTTGTAACTTAGAAACATCGAAAGGAGAACTGATCGAAAGAATGTTTCTTTATTAAGAAAATTAATTATAGGAATCTCGATTGGCTCAGTGAACGGGCTATTCTTGCTGCGAAGAATAAGGATGTCTATCAACTAAATAAAAGTGGTATTGAAAACAGTCGTTGCTTGAGCTGATCTGCCATTTTACCAGACTGCCAGGCCACTTGCTCCCGTTGGTGAATACCACTAATATTATTCAATCCAGCATTCAACGTGAGGAAATAGCACATACGTCTATAAACACCGTTGTGGAAAAAGACCATCCAACGGAATTTTTGAACTCGATTGATCTTCCTGGTAGACTCCACATACTGAAATTGAAAATAAGTGTGCCAATTATCATGTTGCGGAATATTAATCGGCCAAAACTTTGCAACGGCAGGCGACTCGCACTAAAGAAATTGATGAAGAAAGTAGTGTAAGTAAAGATTTTAACGTGGCCTTTCAAAGGTGAAGAATTCCCATTATTCCGACCGATACACCATTTCAGTTTAAAAGATTGCAATTCCCAATTCGATTGACATTCGGAATCACAATCAATAATGCTCGAGTCGAACTTTGGAAAAGCAAATCAGATATCCTTGATATCTATGCAGCGAATGGAAAAACAATAAATATTGTGTGCACACAAGTACTTATTACATAACCCAACACATATGAAACGTATGCATTGTTTCATTAATAGTTTATCATCCATATAACAGGAATACGCCACAGCAAAGCGTGGCAGGGTACAGCTAGTATTTAATAAAAATAAAGACTGCTACCGAAATCGAAAATTTGTTTGGAAATCTCACTTCATAAAGCCCTTTAAATCTATTTTATTTTCAATGTATGACACAAAAAGAGTTTTGAGAGGTAGTAACAAGACAAAATACTTACTTTTATAAAATGAAAAAGGTGAAATTTTCATACAAAATCCGACTTTTGAAGTGAACATGCAGTTAAACGGATTGTACTGTAAAGGAATGCATGTAACACATAACATAAACTTGGGTAACAAATAAAGTCAAAAAGCATGGCATGGATGAAAATTCGTGTATCTCTATAATCATCTTCCTATAATCTTTCCAACTAGGGAAGAAAGAAGGGGGGCGTCTGGCTTGTTAATTTCAAACTTTTTGTGCGACCCAGTATAATATAGGAATATGTACCAGGGTGTCCAGATTGTTTAAAAAAGCCCAATTTCTGAAAAAAAAATCGCCAAAAATCGCCAATTATTATTTTTAAACAAAATTCATAAAATCGATTTAACAAATCTTTTATTTTAAAAATGAGTGCTTGTTATATTTTAGTTTTTAAAACCAAAACCCAAAAAATACCTACAGAGGGTAATAATAAATAACACAAAACACTTTTATAATAGTGATGTACAAACAATTTTCCTTAAAAGTACGCATACTTTTTAAAAATATTTATTTCAACACATTTTGTAATAGGACTGCGCAATTATTAAATTTATTAGAACTCATATTAATTGATTGATCGCACAATCTGCTTTTAAGAGCTCGGCGCTAAAAATTAAATAAAAACCTATAATAAGGCGAGATCAGCTGTTTCCACAATCTGAATGGTTTACATTTCCGTTATCTTATATTGAACTATTCAATCTTGATAACACACTGTTTGATATTGGAAACGTGTTGCAGTAGATACTATTAGCCTTCATATAACACTTTATTCGAACTATTGAAATAAGGCTTTCCAACCTCATCCTATTTCGAATCTTAGTTTTTGTTGAATTCATTACGGAAAAAACGCGCTCAATAAAGCATGTGAGTTCGGCAAGGATAATAATATGAATTTACTTATGTTTCCAAACATTTTATTGCCTGTTGCGGTTTTCACTCCGTAAGCAATTGTCCAAAATTCTTCAGAGTCGGATGGAATGGTTCTGAGAAAAGTTATTCCATGGGAAAGTTTCCGCTGCTTTTCTTTCCTTCAAAGTCAAATAGTGAATTGGCAGGTCCCTGAAAATCGCCCTCTTCTGATTCACACACTTTTCTGGTGACAAAATCAAAGCTTTTTAAAAGTATTTAATTGACTAGGTAATCGTTTCAAAAGTTCTTCGATCAGGGTGATTAAACATTTTTGACAGTCTATTAATATGCTTCTTAAGCCAAGTTTATTACGCAGTTCATTGGCCTCTTCTGTAGAATTATCGTGGAAAACCAAGTTTTTTATATTTTTATAATTAGAAACAATTTATTTGAAGGAAGAAGATCGCCAATGGCGATTTCCTAAATTTTTACGCGCAAATATCAAAAAAAAAATTGGTAAATTGGCGCGAAATCCCCAAATCTGGACACTCTGATATGTACATACATTATACACGTTTGTATACATACATTGCTGCCTTAAAGTAAATGTTCAATATCTTCATCAGAGTTAAACAACATACCGAAGTCGCCAAGATTTATAATAGATTGATGCTCTGCACCTTTTGGAACTCCCAGAAACGCGTTGTGTATCGTAGAACGTGGATGGTGTAGTGAATCATTATTCACTTGCTGTCCATCTATATGCTCAAGAGTATCCTCATCACTAATATTGGACTTGTGCTCTAGACTTCCATCATCCATCGATTCAGTACCTGTACGCTGCAATGAAGAGGTTAAGGGCATTGTTAAAAAGACTAATGAAGCACTTACTTGATTTTGCAGTGTTTGTCTTCTCTCTACTAAGGATTCTATATTAGATTCGTTAATTGCTGCAATCTGCTCGCAATCACTTGAAATAATCTTTTGATCCCTGCTTAATGAATGCTGCCCAATCACTGGAAAATCTCGTTCAGATAGAGGACGTTCCGAATTAATGCCGTGTTGGGCACGAAATAAGTCTGCACTTTTTATACGTTTTTGAGGTGGGGGAGTTGAGCGATTTTTCAGATTTCGAATTATATCGACGTCATCCCATTGAAGGCTTGCCTAAGATTAAAAACCATACAAGCAATTACTTCCTTATGCTTAATCTTGCCGCGGGGTTTATATTAAAATGAAGATCATAAAATAACCACTAAATATCTATAAAATATAAATCTATATTATCCGTGTGCATATTTGTGCTTATTTTTCAATAATTAAATAAAAATGGCTATCCAAGTCAAGGAACTCAGTGCACTCATTTTAGAGCCAAAAGAGCTACATATGTCCCAACGCTAGTGTCCTCAATAGTTGGTCGTGAAATTCTAAAAGGATTTTGCTCGATGTCATAACCATTTCTTTTAAAGTGGGTTGACTTTTTTTAACTTTTGAGCCAAAAATCTAACTTTATGTATAATCATTAACTTTAATTAAAATCCTTTTCAAACACAATGTTTGTCTTCAAAGACCCAAAGTTAAATCTAGCAAAATAACTTGGCACTGTCAAAATAAGTAAAATAACTTTCCATAGGACAACTTTAGCCAATAGTTCTTTGACCCAGACTTTGACAAAATTGCATTTAGAAGGTTAGAAGCAGGATAATTTAGAGCAAATTAAAGGGAAAGACTACCAAGGGATATTTAGCTGAAAAAGAGATATGTATTTAGCCGTCTTAAAATGTATTGCAGCGGGATCAGAGTTCGAAAATAAACGAAACATTTCAAGAATGATCCATCCAAAGACATCAAATTTGCAGTCAATCTGAATCGTTTTGTACTTAAGGAAAATCCTGTTCCTATTTCCTTTTCATACACACGACGCACGTATACCAGCCAGAGTTCGAAAATAAACAAAATTAGTCGCATTGTTTTGTTTCGTTTCTCTCATAACAGAGAGCAAAACACAACCGAAACCCAAACAAAGAAAATTTTAGTTGCAATGGGTTTCGTTCTGCTTTTGTGCGCGAGTGCAAACGAAATAAAAGCATAAAGTGCGCTGCTGGGTGAGACAAAACTCTCAGGAATGATTCGCAAACGTTTTTTTGTCAGCCAATTAAATTTTTATCACAAATATGCCCTCTCAAGCGCAAAACAAGAATTTTTTGCAACCCTTAATGCTATAATTTCTTTAANAATTTCATACTTTAGAGAAAGTTGGTTTAAGTTCACCAAATTGTCATAAAAATATCAAACTTTTTAATCATAATTTTTACAAAAAATTCTATTATGCAGTTTTATAGCCCATTCAATTTAATACAATAAAGTGCTGTTTTAAAGTTGCTAAAAACTCCCTTTAATTTTCTGAGTTTTTTTACTGACGATGTTGGGCATTTTCTTCCTTATAACGAATTTTTTTGTGGCAAAAAAAAACTATAAAATGTCAACGGGATCTTTTAGCAACTTCAAAATTGCACATCTATACTAATTATATAAAGAGAAGTCCCTTTTTTTTGTAACAGGTAATCTCGCGAACGGCTGGTCAGATTTTCATGAAATTTTGTATACAAATAGCTTTCGGTAACCACCATGTTTTAGGCTAAAAAATTTTACTTTTTTTCGGGTAGGCGGACCAGGAACCGGTCTATTCGAAAAAATCTCCGATTTGCTTAAAATTTAGTACGTAAGTAGCTTTTTAGCATATATTAGCATATATGACCCATTTTTTCCGGGAAGTGGTCCAGGGACCGATCTATTCGAATTTACGGTCCGATTTGCTTAAAATTCGGTGCGCAGATAGCTTTTTAGCATGTATTAGCATATGTGATCAATTTTTTCCGAGAAGTGGACCAGGGACCGATCTATTCCAAAAATTCGCATTTATGGTCCGATTTGCTTAAAATTCGGTACGTAAGTAGTTTTTTAGCATATATTAGGATATATGGTCCATTTTTTCCGAGAAGTTGACCAGGGACTGATCTATTCGAAAAAATCGTTTTCACGGTCCGATTTGCTTAAAATTCGGTACGTAGGTAGCTTTTTAGCATATGGGTGTTTCCAGCGGAAGGTCCACCACAACAAAAAAAATAAAAGTTTTATATCTAACGTATTTACGGGCCGATTTGTCTGCTTTTTAAAATATATACTGGCTATGTAAGTAGAATCATGTTTGCATAAAATGGTCTTCCTAGGTGGTGCCAAGGTCGAGATATTTCGAAAAACCGTATTTATGGTCCGATTTGGTTCGAATTTGGCGCATGTGGTTGAAACATAATAAATCATAGATTTCTAATAAATTGGCGCTGAAGTCAAAATATAAAGTATATTCTATATAAAATACATGTTTTATTTGCGTTAAAAATTCATTTAAAAGCAATATTAACAAAAATATAACGATGGAAATTTATGTCACGTGACGCCACGTCACGTCACGTTTCACACTTGGGGTTGTAAAAGA